ACTGTTGACTTTACTATGGGCCACTTAACCCCTTCGAAAACATTTCTATACTTGCAAAGGCAGGAAGGGTTGTTAATCCCACCAGGGTGATGAACTGCCTGGGCCCTAGGTAACCTGCTTGAATCATGGTTTTACCATTGACTCGTGTGCACTGGGACCAGTTCAGCCTTCCTAAGCAACAGTTATGTATAACAATGTGGGCCAAGGGAGTGAAGCCACTATGAAGTGAAGCCGTGATGGTCCCTGACAAACAAAATGTTTTTTTTTTTTTTTTTTGGTTTTTCGAGACAGGGTTTCTCTGTGTAGCTTTGCACCTTTCCTGGTACTCGCTTTGGAGACCAGGCTGGCCTCGAACTCACAGAGATCCGCCTGGCTCTGCCTCCCGAGTGCTGGGATTAAAGGCGTGCGCCACCACCGCCCGGCAAACAAAATGTTTTTAAGATCACATGAGATAATACATATAGAATGGGCAAAGTTGTACCTCAAATGTCATGAAAACAGGAGTCAGTCATGGCCACACATGCCTGTTGTCCTAGACTGAACCTCCAGAAGGAAGGGAAAAAGAGATGTTGACATCACAAGTCAATCTTTCCCCTTTGCCCATAGGAATAGGAAATTACTGAAGAAATACCCATGAATCCTTTTTCTCATGGCATAGCATAAAGTTAAGATTGAACTGAATGGGGCTGGAGAGAAGGCTCAGTGGTTAAGAGCTTTGGCAACTCTTCCAGATGCCATGAGTTCAATTCCCAACAACCTCATAATGGCTCACAGCCATCTATAATGGGATCTGATGCCCTCTTCTGGCATGCAGGTGTATCTGCAGATAGAGCATCATATACATAAAATAAATATTTTTTAAAAATTGGCCGGGTGGTGGTGGCTCACGCCTTTAATCCCAGCACTCTGGAGGCAGAGACAGGCGGATCTCTGTGAGTTCGAGGCCAGCCTGGTCTACAAAGCAAGTCCCAGGAAAGGCGCAAAGCTACACAGAGAAACCCTTTCTCAAAAAAAAAAAAAAAATTGTACTGAGGAGTAGAGTAGAATAAGAACATTGTGAGTTAAAAAGAACAGGGAGGAAGAAGCCCCTTAAGAGGCATTAAGGAGCAAAAAGTGTTGGATGAATATTTTGGGGGTGGCTGGAAAGTATGAATACTCTGGATGGTAGCCTATAGCCTGTGTATAAAGAGTTTGCACAGAGCACTGGAGGAGAATTCAGATCGTTTGTCCACCCCATCTCAGCCCCCTGAGCATCACGGCTGCTGTCTCTTGGGCACATGAGGGGCTCATGGGTGAGGTCCAGGGGCCTGGAGATCTGCTTCTCTTACCCTCCAGCCTGGGTATTGGTGGTTATGCTGAGGAAATCGCTGTCCTCGCATGGCATTGTTTTGCTGTCCCAGCTGAATGCTGCCAGCCTCCTCTCTGTACACATCACCTCAGCTTGTTCAGCTGTTGCTGATGAGAGCTGGTTGTTGAGTTGTATTGTTGATGCTATATAGCCGTGTGTGTGTGTGTGTGTGTGTGTGTGTGTGTGTGTGTGTGTGTGTGTGTGTGTACACCAAGCACAAACTTGAGTCCTGCCTCTCTTGGAAAGTTCTTTGCCCTGTGGTGCCTTAGGTCACCTCTTGGAGTCACAAAGGGCCTTCTGTGACCTCCTACTGAGTTCAGGACACTATAGACAGACCCATTCTCCTTTCAAAAATCATACAAATTTGACTCAGGGCTTCCTCTAAGACTGGCCCCCTATGAGCACCTGACCCTGGTAAAGTCATTTAACTCTGGCAGCTGGCTAGCAGAGGCCAGAAGGCCACACCACTCTCTGAAATGAGGCACTGAGTTCTAGAGCTCCAGAGGCCAGGCTGGTCCAGGAAAATCACAATGATAAATGCCTGTTGTGTGGTTGTGCACCAGCCATTTCCACATCAAATCCTCACATCCACTCTGTAAGGTAAACAGAGAGGTCTCCTGGGGAGGACATCAGCATAGCTACTCAAGGGGTGTGTGGCAGTGCCAAGACAAATTCAGAGCCATACCAGTTTTAGAGGCAGAATGGTATGGAGAAGGCTTGCCTGTCAGCCTGTGGGGGCTGCAGCTACCCATGCGGGATGTAACCCCCTTCCCATGGTGCAGCTGGAACTGCCAAGCAGCGAGCCATCCTAACACTTCATGGTGGCACACCACTAGTGTGTGCGTGGTCCCTCGTCTGTTCTCTCTGTGTCTGGGCCACATTCTCCTAGCACCCTGCCCCCGACACCCCAACCTGACTTGCGAAATGTCTGTCCACTATGGCAGGCTATTGGTGGGCTAGGGTGGAATACCTTAGTCACTGGCCTTGATGTTAACTATTTCCTCTCTTACCTAGTCCTGGCACAAGTCCTGCTTCCGATGTGCCAAATGCGGCAAAGGCCTTGAGTCGACCACCCTGGCGGACAAGGATGGTGAGATCTACTGCAAAGGTGGGTAGTTCCCCTTCTCTCTGAAGAACAGAAGGCTGGAGGAGGCCGGAAACTAAGTAACTATGATGTTACTAGCTAAATGAATCAGTTCCTTGCCCTCCGTTCCAAGAGCCAGATTGTCCCCTCTATGACACAGATGTGGAAACCAGAGGGAGAATGGGACTTGGCCAGAGTCAGATGGCACATAGGGCAGGGACAAGGGTCATAAGACAAAGGTCATAGGACATAGCCCTAGGATCCTAATATCTACCTGTCCAGTGTTTTTCAGCAAAGGATTAATTCCCTCATTGCAATGAAGGAGAATCAGGTCCTCCTCACTATGGAGGCTCAGAGTGTGAGGAGATGAGGAGGTAGACATTGGTGGACTGTCCTTCTTCAGAGACCGGGCACAAGGAATGACAGGAGGAGCTGCTATGGGGACAGGAACACATCCTTACCCTTCTCTTCTCTCTGCAGGATGCTATGCTAAAAACTTTGGGCCCAAAGGTTTTGGCTTTGGACAAGGAGCTGGTGCCTTGGTCCACTCAGAGTGAGGCCGCTGCCGCCTGCACACCCTGCCTACTCCTGTGCTTTTTCTCATCAACCCCTTCCCAGAAGCCTTGAACACACCTCCAAGAGTCTCTCCCTCACTCGGCCCTGACGCACATCACTAATGTTGGACTTGGGTATCTGGCTTCCTTTGGTTTAGGGGTCTGCCTGAGCTCCTACCCCACTAAGGGCTTCCCCCTGCCTGCCACTTGATACCACCGCCTTTAGGGGACAGCTGTCTAGTCACCTCTGTAGAGAGAACAGGTCCCTCTCCCCACACTTCACCCCCACAGACCGGATATCCACCCTCTACTGGCCCGGGACACCTGAGCCCATATCTTTGGAGCTCAGAGGAGCGACACAGCAGACCTGGGGGAGGGAGGACCCGGATTGGGCCAGGGAAGCCTGCGTGAGGTTTATTGGATCCCAGAGAATCTCCTCTGGGAAGGAGGCTGAGCTTCTTGGTGCCCTTGAGAATCAACCTGAGGCGTCTCAGTCTGGGGAGTCCTGATGGGAGGCAGGGGTGCAGACAGGGTTTGGGCCACAGAAGGAGCTTTCTCTGGAATCTTGCCTTTGAATGTGGAACTGGTATTGTCCAGCATGGGAATGGAGAAGCCAGGCCAGAGGACCCCACAGTCTGGAGGTTTCCTGAGGCATCAAGTCCCCTGTTTGATGGAAGGGAGGATCCTAATGAAGTACTTTGAGCATGCATTCAAGTTTATCAGTGGTTGAGATCTTGGAGTGGTCAGTTCTGGTCCTAACCCTGGGTCTGGTGACTGGGATGGACAGTTTCTCTCTGTGTCAGCATAGTCCCGGGTAGTGCTGTGTTCTAGCCACTCCTGACCGTTCCTATAATGGAGGGAGGCAGAGGTAGCCTGCCTTCTTGTAACACCCTCGGCCTCTGCCTCCAGTTCTCACTCCCCGCCAACTCAGACCCAGACCCTGACACTTTCACCTTGCCCTTCTCTTAGGGACCTTCACTAGCTTCCAGGCCCTAAGGTCAGGCGCCGAGGGAGGAAGGGGAAGGGCTGGGCCTCGATGCTCCCAGGGACCGAAAGAACAATGCTGTCTGCAGCTGTTCCCTGCAAGGGCTGTAGGCATGGGCTGTGTGGACGCTGATTCCTCATCTGGTCAATAAAGCAGTTTAGAACAGAACTCTGGTGTCCATCTTCTGTCTGTGCGGCCCTCCACACCTTGGATGCAGGATGGGTGTTGGATGGGAACAATTGAAGCAAGGCTTGGTGGGAATGAACCAAAGAGGACTCACTCGAGGAGTTTTCTAGGGTCTGCGTACTCTGTAGTACCAGCTCTAAGGAAACCAAACAACCAAAGGCTGCTGCCTTGCCGTTGTTTGCCCTCCACCCCACCTCAGGACGTGGGAATTTTGTGGACTTGGCTCTTGACAGGCTCAGTCAGGTCCCAGCAATGTGCTCAGCATTTCAACTTGGAAAGCCCCTTGTAAAGAGAAACTCGGCCAGAGAAACTTTCTGTGTCGACTCCAGAAATCTCACTTCTTCTGGGAAGAGTTGGGGTGGGGGTGGGGTGCACAGCTAGCAGCCCGCTTCCCTGTTAGGGGCCCACAACCAGGTACAAGGAAGACGAGACTTGGGAAGTAGGCTTGTTACTCATTTTAGGTGTACCTGTTAAACCCCAGAGCTGTGTGTTTCTGTGTCGGTCCATGAAGATGTGCCCACACTGACTTTTTAAAAACAATGAGTAGAATTTAAATAGGTTTTGTGTTTGCCTTAGCCAGATAGGAGGTTAGCAATGCTCCTCGTGGGACCTATACCCATGGTGCAGAGGATCGGAAAGTGCAAGGGAACACGGACTCAACAGCTGGAAATCAAACTGACCGCTCCCAGACGGGGGTCAAGATCCATGGGAGGTTCTCAAGGAGGTCTGTGCCCAGAGGACAATGGTTCATTCCATAAACACAAATGGATCCTCCTACCCTGGGCGGGGCCCGCAGGAGTACCAGGATGGGCACCTTTGGGGTTCAAAGGTGGAGACAGGCTGCCCTCTGCTGGCTGCGCGGGCGGGTCTCCTCAGCCCAGCGCAGTACCATCAGGCAGGCCCTGGTACTGTCTCGCTCCCACAGCCACGCAGTGCGGAAGGGGCCGCGCGCACGCTGGGATCAAACCCGGGTACCATCGGAAGGCTGTAATGCATAGGCAGCCAGGCCGGGAAGCCCCGCGCGGCAGTGCGGTTCTCCGGAGGTGAGTGAGCAGCTTGCGGGGAACGTGGGGAGCGCAGGGACCCGCCGGCGCCGAGCTTGCCCTGTGCCGGTAGACACCAGGGGGCGCTGTGGGGTCAAGGCAAAAGCCAGCCGCTCCTTTTTTCCTTTTCTTTTTATTATATTTTTGTTAGCTAATCCCTTTTTGCTGTGGGTGTTGACGACCCTTTGCTTCTGCGCGGGCATCTAATCTCCAAGGAGAGCATCTTCCTGGTAGGAGTTGTGCTCTAATAGTGAGTGACCCGTGGCCTGCCAAACCGTGAGAATGACCCAAAGGAGAGAAGTAGGCAGGGCCCTTGGTATCCATTCAAGGGAGACCTAGGCGTGGTCCAGGATGCCCTTGGGGGAAAGAATGGCAAGAAGAACGCCCAGTTGCAGGAGTGCGCTGGGCCTTTAGGGTGTGCTGGGAGAAAGCTGCCTGTTCTGAAGGCAGGCAGGCCCTCAGTCTTCCTCCAAGATCCCAGTCAGGCCATCTGAGAGGGTGACTTCTGAGGGAGCCAGACAACAGAGATGAGGGAAAATGTGTTTGGTAGTTGAGGCAGGAAGAAAGTGAGTTCAAGACCAATCTTTCTACAAAAAAACAAGGTGGGGGCTGGAGAGATGGCTCAGAGGTTAAGAGCCCTGGCTGCTCTTCCAGAGGTCCTGAGTTCAAATTCCCAGCAACCGCATGGTGGCTCACAACCATTTGTAATGAGATCTGGCGTCCTCTTCTGTATACATAATAAATAAAAAAAATCTTAAAAAACAAACAAACAAAAAAACAAGGTGGTATGTGCCAATACGTGTGTGTGCATGCGTGTGTGTGTGTGTGTGTGTGTGTGTGTGTGTGTGTGTGTGTGTTGTTTGATCTGCAATTAGGTATTTAAGTAATCCCTAGATCAAGAATATATTCTTTGGGAAGAACAGAAACCCAGTGAAGTCTCCTAGACCCTGGTAAGGGCTGATTAGAGAGGGGAACAGAGCAAAGACCCTCGGGAACCAGTCACTGGATGGTTCTGACCCCCTTCTGACCCCCTTCTCCCCGTCTCTGGTCTTGCTCCAAACACACACACTCCCGCTATGAGAACCATTGTGGGGGTGGGAGTGTTTTTAAAATGGATCCCAGAGCCACCCTAGAGATTCTGATCGGGTTGGGGTGGGGCCTGGGAATCTGTATTTGAAGTGATGCTAATGCTCAGTCAGCCAGGCTGGAGGTTGCACAGACTACACCAGCCGACCTAGACCCAGCAGCTCGCTGGCCTGAGGTCACTGGAGCTGCTGGAGCTGCTTCTAACCAGCTGTAACGACTGGGGAGGAGTTACCTGAATTTTCCGTTCTCTAGAACCGACAAGATCAGGTCTAAACATCCCCCGTGACAGCCCTGTAAAGATTTGAGAGCAGCTGCCCTCCAGTCTGACTCCATCCTCTTGAACCCCATCCGTTCAGTGGGTCCCGAGAGAGAGTCCATTTCATCAGTTGGGGAAGAAAGAGAAGTTTTCAGGGCCTGAGAGTATAGCTTAGTGGTAGAGTACTTACCTAGCATGTATGAGATCTTGGGTTCAAACCTCAGAACAAGAAGGGGGGAAAACACACCTAGGCACTTGAGATACTTGGCTGTATCAAGGCAGAACCATTCTGGGAAAGACCGACAGATTCCCTAGGGCCTCCTTCTTTTGGAGTAGTTTGAAAACGTAAGTTTGTCAGTTCTGGCTTATTCTGTACCACAGACTATTCAGAGATTAAAGGCCTTCGATGACCCGACGAGACAAAGCATTGATGAATGATTAAACTAAAGCCAGGAACCAGGGGACAATTTGGGAACTAGTTCAAGGTCAAATGGCGGCGGGGTGGGGGTGGGGGGGTGTCTGCGTAGAACCCGCTGGCCCAGGACTCACTCCTACACTGCAGTACTCCGCTGGCACTGCCTGGAGAGAAGCTGCCGTGTATTGGGAGGTGAGAGGGTGACCTTAGGGAACTGAGCTCGTACTATAGCAGCTGTTCGGGTGGGAGCTCCACTTCAACCCCTGCCATCCTATCATACACCCGAAGAGTCTGGGATGATTATGTGGAAGCCCCATCTCTCTCTCTCTCTCTCCAGACCCCCACCCCCTCAAAGCCTGCCAAAAGACAACCCCTCCCTGGGGCTCCTCAAGACCACGCGTACAGGTTACTTAAGGCCTGGTAGCCGTATTTGCCATGTGACTCTTCCAAGGGTCACCCAGTGTTGCTATGCTCTGTTCATTAAACCTAGATTTATTAATTCAGCTTGATTGGCTTATTACATCGGCGGGGGATATCCAGCAACCGGGGATTTAAAACTTATCAGTAACAGCCAATGTTCATGAGTCCTCATTTGGATGCTGTCTTATCTGATGCATTCACAAGTACTTGGGGTTGAGCGTGGTACCCTATATTATAGAAGAGGAAAGTGAGAGTCAGTGCATTTCTAAATGACTTACTCAAAGTCTCTGGCAAGTGGTGGAGCCAGGATTGGAACCAGCTGTGTGAGTTTGGGCCAGTCTCCTCCCCTCTGGGTGTCAGCGCCTCATTTGTGAAATGAAATTGCTGGCCTAAATTAGTGCCGGGGAAGTCCTTCCCAGGCTCTGATGTACATACACATCTCCTGGGGAATCTTGTAAAACACAGACTCCGGTTCAGGAGTGTTGGGTGGGGCCTGAGACCGGATGTCTCTCACAAGCTCCCAGGGGAAGGTGGTGCTGATGTTGTGGATCCAGAGACCACACCGGAGCAGCCAGGCTCCAGGCGACCCACCCAACTCTGATGTTCTTAGTTTATGGGCTTAGGAAGACTCGCCCCAAAGGCCTTGAAAATTCAGGAAGTAGATTATCCCAACTGAAGATCTTAGTGGGCACTTTCCATGTCTGGACAAGTCCTTGTGCCTAGCTTGAAGTGTCTGCCCCTGAGCCTTTCATACCGCCACTCTGTTGACCTTGGGCTGACACCTCAAGAGAATGTCCAGCTTAGTGTCCCGCTGTTCCCTATAATAGGTATAAAAGGGAGTTCCCATGATCCCACCTTCTGGGGTCACCCACCAGGCCCCTAGTAGCCACCTTGTCTACTCCTTTAGGATTGTTCACAGATAATCTGCCAATCTTCTGAGTGCATGGGAAAGGTGCATGTTCCTCCTCCCTTTAAGTTAGATGTGGCCATGTGCCTTGCTCTGGCGTTTCAACTGAGATCAAAATGACTCATGTCCTTTCTAGACGGAACTCTTTCTTTGATTGCTTGCTTGCTTGCTTGACACAGAGTTTTGCTATGTTGCCCAATCCTGTCTAGTACTCATCATCCTCCTGCCTCAGCCTCCAGGCTAGCTGAGATTACAGGTGTGCATCACTATGCCACGCTTGTGCAGAATGTCTCTTGCTTGTCTTTGTGACCCAGCTTTGCTGTGTAGCCGAGGCTATCCTTAAACTCACAATCCTCGTGCCTTAGCTTCCCAAGTGATGGAATTACAGGATTGCTTAATTCTTTAGAGAGTGGGACTGAGAGAGACAGCTAGTTCGTGAGGTGCTTGCTGTGCGAGCAATCCCTGGTAATCACACAAAAGTGTAGCTGAAGTGCTATGGATATCGCTCTGTATAAATAAAATGCTGATTGCCCAGTAGCCAGGCAGGAAGTACAGGCAGGACAAGGAGAGAGGAGACTTCTGGGAGGTGGAAGGCTGAGGCAGAGAGACACTGCCAGCCGCCGCCATGACAAGCGATATGTAAGTGGGTTGTCAGACTGCCGGGGCTTGGCAGGACCCAGAGAGAAGCTCTCCAGCTACAAAAAAAGTACAGGTGGCGCGGAGTTACTTACAGCAGCAGCACTGGGGAGGCAGAGACGGGCAGATACCTGGTAGACCTGGTGTTCACTAGTGAGCCTAACCAGTGAGTCCTAGGTTCAGGGAAAGACCCTGTCTCAAAACCAAGGTGGATGGCTCCTGAGGAGCAACACCCGGGTTGACTTTTGGCTTCCATACACACACATACACGTGCATGCTTGCATGCACATCTCACACAACCATGCATATACAATTGCAATGTGTGCACGCACAACTCTTGAAAGGCCACTGTGTGAACCTTTATGTCCCCTTTTTGCCTTGCAAAGAGGATGGGGACAAGTGCAAGAGGGGACTTGTGTTCACTGTGTCACAGTGAGCAGAGCCCTCCCTGGTACCCTGAGTGGGGCCTGTGGCGGGAGGACTGTAGCCTTTGCTTGGGTACACTGTTGGGTCAGAAGGAGTTCATTAGTGTAGCATGAATAGCCCATCCTGGTGACTATAGACATACCTTGTCAGCTATGACGTTAGATAGGCACTGTTCAGTCCGAAGAAACATGCTTTCTGTGAGGTCAGTATAATCTGCCTGCCAGAAAGCTAATGTCTTCTTCAGGGTGTCTCTCTGAGAGGGGTCTCTCTGCTGGGGTGGAGGGTATGTGTCCCTGGGCCTATGAACTCCACCTCCCTTGTTCTGCCAATCCCATGAAGAGAACTCAGATTCCATTCCCCTAGAGCTTAGCCAGAGCCTGACTCAAGGGACCCTCCATGACCCTGAGTTCCTCTCTTGAGTCTTTCTGGCCCCTCCGCCTCCAGCCAGGTGTTCATCTCTTCTTGACGCTGTTCTCCGGCCGGACACCTCACAGCCGTCTTCTCTACCCAGTCTTGATTCCCTATTACCAAAGTGACGGGAGCATTCAAAATTCTCATCGTGAGACATCTGGAAACCAGAGGCAGGAAGAAAGTGGTGCACCAGCCCTCATCTAGAAAGACTGGCAGCTGACACCATCCTCTTCCCTGGCATTTTTCTCTTTCCATCCACCGACCCCCATGCCTATAGTTTAGGACCCTCCTGTGAAGGTCCGCCCTCTAGAAAGAGAGGGAGAGCCATCATCAAGTACAGAGAATGTCAAAGCTGGAGGGAAAATCCTCCCATCAATCCCACATCACCAGTGAGGATGCTACCTTATACTATTCTGGGTACAAATGTACTGAAAGCAATGTAC